CAATCTCACTACTATCATTCCCTGTCACTACAATATCATCCACATATACAGCAAGCAGGGTCAAAGAAGAGTCCACCCTTTTAATGAACAGTGTATGATCTGACTGGGCCAGTACATAACCAAATTTTCCAATGGCTAGTTTGAATCTATCAAACCAAGCTCTAGGGGACTGCTTTAAACCATACAATGCCTTATTCAGTCGGCAAACCTTACCTGTCTCTGTATCATATTATCCAGGAGGCAACTGCATGTAGACCTCTTCCTGTAAGTCTCCATTTAGAAAAGCATTTTTAACATCCATCTGGAACAAGGGCCAAGAATAACTTGCTGCAAGGGCTAATAGAACTCGGATGGTGGTCATCTTGGCTACTGGGGCAAAGGTCTCCAAGTAGTCTATACCATAAGTCTGAGTGAACCCCTTTGCAACCAACCAGGCTTTGTACCTTTCAATGGAGCCATCAGCATTATGCTTCACAGTAAATACCCATCTACATCCAACTGGTTTCTTTCCTTTGGGTAAATCAACTAGCTGCCAAGTGTTATTTTTCAACAGAGCATCCATTTCAACTTTCATTACATCTTTCCACTCTAGAACTGATAAGGCTTCTTGCACTGTTCTGGGATAGGGATATCGGCAATGGAAGTGAGATAGGACCTGTAAGAGGGAGATAGGCGGTCATAGGATAGAAACTGGGAAATGCAGTGAGTTGTAGATGTGGTGCAATGTCGTTTCCCTTTACAGACGGCAATAGGGAAGTCAAGGTCATCCGTAGGAAGGGAAGTAGCAATAGTGAAAGGTATCTCAGTGGGCCCTAGGACTATAATACCTGGATCTGGAGCCGTAGAAGGAACTGGAGCTGGCCTGGACTGCTGATGACCGGGATCAACCTACCTGCATCGCCTATGATAGACTTTCAACTCCTGATCCCTTTGACCACCCTCACCATTACAGCCTTCATCACTCAATGGAATGGGTAAAGGAACAACCTCAGATGTGTTAACCCCACTCTCACTGCACTCCCCCTGAGGAAAAAGACCCAAATCCCCACTAAGATAGACCCAATAATGCATAAGATAAACCCAAGAAAAACGAGTATGGTCATCAACAAACAACAGAAAATATCTGTACCCACCCATAGAAGGGATGTGATATGGCCCCCAAACATCAGTATGCACAATATCAAAAGAATTATTACTTATTTTATTACTCAAAAGAATAAGATGTTCTACAATGTTTGGCAAGCCCACAACTCTCACATCTCAACTTTGACATCTCAACAGACTCAAACAAAGTAGGAAACAGACTCTTCAAAGACCGGAAAGATAAACGACCTAATCGATTATGCTAGAGCATAACCGGACTCACAAACTGAAAAACAAAAGACTTCTTATCCACTGGCTCTTTCCAACGAG